AAAATAAACAGTGTGGTTAAGGGCGAAAAATACGAAATGTTAAAAATTATATTATTTTATTTATTAATTTAGTCGCGCAATTTATATTTGGAGACGTTGCGTGTAATTAAGTAATGCATAATTTGTAGATGCAAATTTTTTATTTCATATTTAATTTGCGAATAGTTTTTCGTAAAAAAAATAACGGAAGCTTCAGCATCCAGTGTAGTTAGTACACCGTAATTTTAACATATGAACATAATATTATAATTTTAATTAGGAACCAGTTGATACATCTGTCATATACATTAGTAAATATTTAGTAGCATACGTTTCCTTATGCCACGTGGCTGTTTATTTCGATATAAATTTATGCGGCTCAGTCGCGCGGATGATTTGCAACTAAAATAAGATTATAACAACTGTAACTTCGTTATTAATTTATGCTACGTTCTCGAGAGCCCTGCTAACGGCCGTGACGCGAGGAATGGAAAATCTTTGCGCGCGAGGTCAAGAGATTTAGGTATCACAAATCCGAAGAGTTTATTACGGAAGAGGTGGAATATTATCCCGCGACATAATTAGCCATGCGCGAAATTCACCGGCACTGTGTTTCGCACTACTAGCGATAAATATATTCGGCTGGAATACTCTCCGGTAGCCTTCTAACTTTCAGAGAACCGAACACCTTTCTATCTTTGACGCAATATTTGATTTTCGTTCCGATAAGCGGCAAATGAAATTAGATTTTGTGCGAGCACGCTCGAGCCGGCGAAAAATTTCTTTCGCGGCGGCTTGATGGGATTCCATCAGGAATCTCTCAATATCGCGTGTCTCTCGCGGAAGACGCATGGTTTCGATAAAAAGGATTACATCGGGAGAGCGGAAGCGGTCCCGGGAATTTCTTTGGGAAAAAAAGGTAGAAACGGGGGACGAGAGAGGAGAGGGAAGGAAATAAGAGCGAGAAGCGTCGGCGCGAATTTATGTTCCGCACGCATGGAAATTTATGGGCCGCTAATTGGTGGGGTGGGATATCGGCATCGAGGTGAAAAGATGGGAAACGGAGATGGAACGCGCGATGCGAGAAGGCCGGGGTTGTATGCCGCGCAACTTTAGGATTAATTCTCGGATAAAATGACCGGCCGCACACCGTCCTTACGGGCTTAGATCCGATGGGAGGGGAAAACAGCCGTCAGTTACCGTTTGTCAAGCTAATTAATTAGCAGCTGGCGAACTTTCGTTCTCGTCTCCTCCGTCTTTCTCACACTTCTCTCCTCCGATGCCGGGACGTCAAGTAATTTTTTTTTCTTAAGAAAGCGCGGCGATCTCGAATATTATCCGTTGCGAAAGACCATCAGGATTTAGAACATGAATTTTGTCGAACCACTTTATTAATGCTTTTACCTTTATGCTAAAATAATCCGGTGAAACGAAAAAATAGTCGCGTTAGCATTTACCGCGAATTATTTATATTGCAAGTAAGCTCATAATTGAAAATCGGGCAGCTATAATATTTTAATTACCTTTAACGTTTATTGCATCTCGTGCTCCTTCAGATTATTCTTGATATTTCCAGTCGCTCTCATCCATTTTAATTGGTCCATTTCTATTCCACTTAATCCCGACGTCCGGCTCTTCCGTAAAGCATTTACTACAGTACGTTTACAGTTAAAGACACTTGTATCCTATCAACATCGCCGGAGGCTGCTTTGAATCTGTGCGGAAACTCGACTAAACCGCGAGAGCGCACGATGCGAACTTCAATAAAATTGCTCGTAAAATTATTAGCGGACACACGGTCGACGGTATAATAATAATATCCGCCGTGCTCTTGCGACGAAGCCTCAATCTGCTTTACATCGCAATTAGACGGAACACACACGATGCGCCAGGGGTGTAACTGAATTACGTGTAAAAATTGACGCTCGTCGAGAGTCGCTCTGTCAAAAACCGAAGCGCGATGTTACAGACGATGGTCGGGCCGCGCGGCCGGTGTGAAGAAACGAGGGCGCAATGAGGCGAGCGTTTAGAACGCTCGTAAATTCCGCGTAAGATCTAACGCGCGCAGCGCGAAGGAAATACCGGCCATTTAACTATTCATTTAGCCTCGGCGTACCGTCTGCGAGAAAACAGTTCGTGCAACTTTTTACATAAAGAACGATTCGCATGGCACGTTATGCTGCTACTAGCTTTCCCTCTTTTTGAGAAATTTAAAATATACCTAAAAATCATGAAGCACTTTTATGTGCGCGATATATTTCTTGTTTCTCAGATCTCTTTTTTTTCCTTTTTGAAATACATTTTGAGATGTAAACGTGATTGCAAAATTAAAAGAAACATTGTTATAAAACTCCTGTCTTCTTTGTAACAATAACAAATATTTAAGGACTTTAAAAAGACACCTTGGTTTTTATTCTTAAATATTTTAAATCCGTTTGAACATGTGTAGTTTAACACCGTCGCAAAATCGAAAGCTTTTGCGTTTACGAGCGTCTCTTGAAATAGAATTTCACTCCCGCGCCGTGCACTCGAGTTACTTCTTCCGAATTGTTGCGATCATCGTTCGCCACTGAAGAACTATACCTGTAGCTTGGTTTGATCTCTTACTTTTATACTCTTTCTCAACGCGTTTTTTTTTTAAGTCAAGACATTGCGGTTAAACGCTGCACCTTCTAAGTGTAGCGATCCGCGATTGCATTTCTTCCGTGAAGATGATTTCCGTAGTGCGCATTCAGCGCATTCTTGTGTATCAGTCTTTCCGCTTGTTTATCGGTTATTCCAAATTGCTTTTGTCGAGCGTCTCCATTAAAGAGTTGTATATATCGCCTCGTGGAAAGTGCTACGCGAGAAGCCGTGTATATATTTCTTACTACAATCTCGTCTGAAATGGCTTCCGATAGAAGATGGTAACAGCCGTTATGCGCCCTATAACAATAATCAATTTCTCTTTACGCTTTTGTTTTATTTGTCGGTTACTGGCTGTTCTTGCACATCCACTGTAAAATAATCCATTAAGTACCTTATCAACGTAAAATGGAAATAATTTGTCGTCTTACATAAAGTGACATAAAATTAAATTTTTACTCATACATATATTTATAGGGAAATTTTTCGCGATACTCAAATAATTAGCCTGCTACTTACGCCGAGGAATTTAGTTATCCAGCAATTCTGCGCGAACTAGGAAGCGAGACGATTTTCCATCGTCGTCGCCTTGGAAATTTCGTTAGGATACTCCAGCTCGAGAGAAGTTATTTTTACGAAGTCAGATTTAGGAGCTTCGCTCGGGCGGGTGCCGCGCTTTAATCTACATCGAAATTCTAATGTGGCGCGTTTCTTTAGCATTTTATGCTAATGCCCGTCGCGTCGTACCCCTTAAAGTTCACTTTGACAGCTTTACCGGCAGCGGCAGCTGATGAAAACGACGGTCCACGAGACGCATTTCGCATGTGTGAAAGATAGGAAGAATGAACCTCCGCCAAATTTCTAGCGATAACATTGTTTTTAAATTAATTGAGGGAATTGTCTAGGAAGTCATAAATCTTTGAAGTTTTTAAAAAAATAACGTTCTTTAAATATTGTAATAAGTAAATGTTTTACACCAAGAAGATGAATATTGGTTTGAATTTTCTCTTCTGTAAAACAAGAGAGATATATATTTATATATTTTACGTAACTGTTTAACATTTAATTATACTCGTTCAGTTGGAGTGTAACGCAGCAAATAATATTTTTATCTTGTATTAATTGTCCTGTAAATTGATGAGACAAGATCTTGCAAACTGATTGTTGCAGAACTTGTAGTTGCGATTCCCGTTGCTACGATTTCTTTTTCCAATCCACTTCATTTCCAATCTAATATTAGGGCCGAACTTACCGGTGCATGGTGTTTCACTCGGCCAGACTCGGAAAGACACGGTTCCTTTTAATAACCCAGCAGCGCCATCGTCTATTATACGGGCTCTCACTTACAAAGTATAATGTCTCCCTCGTTTTTACGCTCAGTATGCGTCCAATTTTAATACTCTTGCATCTATTTTCGTTTGCTCTCTCGCATTTCTCTCCGTTTTTCTTCTGGCGCTCTCTCTCGCTCTCTTTCTCGCTTCTCGCTTCAAAGAAATCATTTTCTATTCCGCTTCATCACGCTCAGCAGACACCCCGAGAGAGAATTTCCGTGATCCGTGTATCGTGCGAAGGAGGAGGATCATGCATCGCATCGAAGTCAGTAAGGTCATCCATGATGTATTCTTTTAAGCCAGGGAACTTTCAATTATTTCATTTTCCCGACACAATAGCTATTTTAACAATATGATTTCATACAGAATATGTACAAAATATACAAGAAAACTCTCATTTACATTATAATTTGGGAATAAAATCAAGGTTTTTGTTATTTCTAGACGAAAACTTTTTTATTCCCCTGAAACGTAAACGTTCCAAAGCCAACGCTGCAAGTAATTTTCCGCATTTTTGTCAAACGACAAAAATCTCGTGATATTCATTTTATTAACTATTGAAATTTCGTTTGGTATTGATGAGCGTGATACGTATATCGGAAACATTAGGACAGAACCTTCGTGTGCGTCTTATCGACGCTTATCGACGCTTTTAGAGACCTTGATCTGTTGACGTTTTGGATTTTAAAATAACTGTATCGATTATTATATTCCTATTATACTATCCCAATATAATTGAAGGCTATTTTACATATTTCTATTATTATATTAATATTATTACTATTATTACATGTACTGCTATTATTACCTGTTATTATGCAAATAATTAAACAATTAGTTTAAGCAAGCCTTTAATTATTTATCTATATATGCGGAGTCCTAAAAATTACGAAAGGACCAAGTTCGATGAAAATCACTCCATTTGTGAAATGACGTTATTCGAAACTTCGGCAACTTTTGTATCTTTAGTACTTTGGGCGACGCGTAAACGTCGCTCGTAAATCGCAATCAGTTTATCCCTGCGAAGTTTGCTTAATTCATTTCCATTCTCCTTCTCTGTTACAGAATTCGAACAACCAGGTCGCGATCGCCGGGCAAAATCAGGTATCCGGTGCCGGCGAGACTCAGGGCGGGCCCAACACCGTGCTCCGAGTCATCGTGGAGCACCTGCTCTACCCGATCACCCTCGACATACTTTATCAGGTGAGCGAACCACCACCCGGTACATGACGGCCGGTTCATTTATTATTTCTTCATTTTATATTGAAAGCGGTCGCATTCGGTACGCTGAATGCAGTATCGCGTGTAATGCAACGATGAATTATATACATATTCAAATATACCGTACATACGCGTACGTATACGTTAGGAAAGGATGGAAATTTTTCACGAGTTTCTACGTGACCGTTGGCGTGTTGCGGGAACTTTTTGGAGAAACTTTTTTATCGGCTCAGATTCGAGAGTCTACACACACTGAGTGAACTGTCGTGAAATTATGGAAACAAAAAAAAAAGGGAAAAAATTCCCCCGTGCAAACTGTGCGTTGGCGTGTTACCGACGAAGGGAAAGTGTGCCCCTAATTGAGAGACGCCGGAAAACGAAAAGGCTAACGTAATTTAACTTCGACGTCGATGTCGTCGCCGAAAAATATCACGCGCGCGCGCACCGGGGAGTTGAATTAGTCGAATTTCGCAGACAATCCCGCGGTCGTTAACTCGCTCACGGATATTTGATCAACGTTTACAAGTCGGGCGTGAATTCCGCTTGATTAATCCGCGCGGCGGCCGCGCGCGGCGAAGTTACATCCGCGCTTTACATATTGAGTGCCTCGTCGCGAGCGACGGGCGCCCCGGTTGCGACTGTTTGCAGTTTTAAAATTGAATATACGCGCCGGTAGCCTCGCTACCGAGAGATAACTGAATTCTAAATAATTGATTGTTAAAATTATAGAATAATCTCCTGCCACAGCGCGCGACAACGGAATTGTCCGGGATTGCGCTTGGCGCATCGCGATAGACTTCGCACGACTTTCTATTCGTAAGATACTAATTGCACTTGTCGCGGAATTGACGCTTTACTTTGTTATTGAAATACTTGGGAGATATTGAATTAAATTGGAGCAATTCTAAACATTGCCAAGGAACTGTCTATGCAAATTTATGCAAATGCATATTCTAAAAACTTTTTTGTTCATACGAATTTATTCATATATGAAGAAGTAAAGAATAATAAAATAAGAAGATTATAGATTGATAATCAAATTGATAGTCATGATTTTGTAAAGTTTTATAGCTTGAGACTTCCGAAAATAATGCTTCTTCATTTTAAGCCGAAAAGGAAGTGGACAAACCATCTATCGTGACTATCTATGCATGACTTTTTTTATTATTTGCACGTGTAATTTCCTCGTTTATGGAAATAAAACACTTGGTAATCATGTGAAGGCGCACTAATGCACAAGACGGCGCACACTATTTTCCTCTCTCGGTAGGAAAACAAAGGAGCAAATATTGCTGGTCATCATTAAAGGGAGGGCGAGGCTTATCCCTGAGGATACCGGATAACAGGATAACCGAAGTGCTTCCGGTTCGGGTTGAGTGGCCCATGCATTTTTAAGCGTGCTCAATAGCGCCGCGAATAATATCCTCGGTGATGGTGTACATACACGAAGGCCGTACTTTATTCTTCCTCAAGTTTGTGAAAACAGATGTTTACGCTTGTTACTCCAGTTTTAGTCAGCGATATATTGTTTTTTTTTTTTACGCTGATAAAACGAGCAGCGTCTATCGACCGAATTTTTTTCGAATAAATTTTTATTTGCGTTCGTAACAAATTTGTATTGTCTCACTGAATGAGCGCGACGACAAAATAAAATTTCAAAAAAATCGCGCGCGAACAATTATTTCGTAAAACCGACAATACAATGCGTCTCATTGGCAGCTATTTCGAAAATTGTCGAAAAATATAGCTCGCAAATTACAACTATTCTGAATTTACTGAAATCGAGTTGGACTCGCGTTATCGTGTTGATTGTTACAGAGGATTTTTGCGTTTCTCCGAATGTCTTGGAGGAATTGCGATTGCAAAGTGGCGTGTAAGGAAACTATCTTTAACACTATCGATTTATCCGGAGGTCCGCCTGGTGTACAGGGTGGCGTTTTCTTTTTTTCTCGCGTGGAATCAGGTCGTTGCGGAACGGAGAGAGTAGCGCGCGGCAGCCGCACTAAGCCGATAATGGACCGGGCAGAAAACATTCCCGGATTACCAATCGACGATTGGCTGGCTATATGTTCGGCTGTGTAAGTAGGCTTACACCGACGGTTTTGGCAGGACGGCTAGGAGGCAGAACTGGATTTGTGTCCGGCTGTTCGCGACTTGTAATCAGCTCGAAAGATTAACCCACGTCAAAGCCAGCCACCTGGAGCTTACTTATTGCTCAGACGGATTCTTCGATCTGCTCGGGTATCATATGATTTGCGCTAGAAAGAAAATCCTGTCGTATATGGACTGACACTTACCTCGAGAAATCCGGATAAACCGCCGTAAGATGATCAATTCGACTTGAACATACGAGCCAGGGGAATGAACATTTAACTTTGCACTCAATTTGCACTGTGCAACCTAGTGTGAGACAATTACAAATAAAAATTCTTATAATCGTTTAAATAAGCTGTCTCAAGTCTTGACATTTTAATTATTTAATGTTACGGTGTTCTTTGAAATTTTAATAATGCCAATAATGAGTTTATTGGAAACATTCTGTATATGCTGCGCGCGCTTTACCGAAGTCTGATGAAAGCTTGACTTGTTCTACTGTACGTAATCCGATGCGGTGCTCTCGCGAGGAAAGTATATGTTTTTTTGTCTAAAACAGATTAAGCACTGCCTTGCCTTGAAATCTTGATCTGCTTTTTTGTTTTTATATTTTTATATATTTATGCATTTTTATATATTTATTATTCTGTTATTTAAAGTTGCATTATTTAAAATATGACAGATTGTGGTGCGATTATGATCTTTTTGAGAGTGCACTTGCATCTAAATATATAAAAAAAGTCATACACAACACACACACATACATACTGCACATTTTACTGTTAATTTTATTATTTGCTTTTTTTTTAAACAAAGAGAGCTTCATGAAATTTCCATGTGTCTCCTTGGATTTCTCCTCAACTTCGCTGAAGCAATCGCAAATGCGGTTTCCCCACAGTTCTCGCGTCCCGGACTTCGATTGTTTCTTTCGGTCGAATTGAATTTTAACTTCGTTCTTTATTTGTTCCTGGTTTGTTGCTCGGTCGCCGCGACCTCCTCGCGCGATTAACCGACCGCCTCCGGCGGCGAAGCCAATTTACGTGGCGGCGGTGGTGTTTCTTCCACCCTCTCGCCTCTCCGCGCCTTAGAAATCCTCCTCCGATATTTAACTTTACGGTCTCCCGAGCCAGGGCGGGTTAAATGCCGCGAAAAGTCCGTCCTCGCGGAGCGGAAACTTCTCGCGCGAGCCCCGAAGCGGGAAGGGAAGAAAAGGTTGCCGTCCCAAGGGGTTGTAAGGAAGGGGTGCAGGTGTTTAGGTGCGTACCCTCCGGTGCGGGAACCGGTGCGCGGCGCTGTAAAAACTTGGTAATCCAGCCGATGCCATTAATCGACGTTCCTGGGCCGGAAAATTCTTAATGATCTGTGAGCAAAGATGGTGTCGCGCGCGCGGGAAAAAAAAGGAGATTGGACTTAAAGAGCTTTCTTTGCAGAGTTTTTCCTAATTTAGGGATCTCGAGTTGACAATAAATTCTTAACGAATTGCAATACAAGCTCTAGGACTAAGTTTAATTAAACAGCGTAATTCTTTCGCGATCTTTCGTATTCAGTATTACATTTAATATTTCATATCACTATTTTATATTAATATTTTATTGTTATATTATATTGAGACATTATTCGACGAATAATACCAATAATAGGTAGTTATATGAGCTGTATATCGAAAAAGCTTGCTTTCTTCCAGTATCAGATTAACCGTTTACACTTTACAGAATCTGTTCACTTTTCATCCCATAAAAAAAGTTTAAGTGTATGATAGAGGTGGCTCTATGAGTTGCTCTATAAATCCGATTACATAGTCAGCGGATAGGGAAACCCGTAAAACGATAGCGACTCAAGCGAGCCGTTTCTCCGCGGGTAATTTCTGCTTTGCATCTTTTTTCCACGATGCGCTGGGAGGCTGCATCGTGCATCCCCCTTCCCCTCCCAGCTACCACCCGCGAAACCCCGCGGGTTTGAGGGCGCGTCGAAGCTTGAATGTAAAACCGCTCGTAACGTTCGCGGATACGCGCGGAGCGTAAAGGGAAAGACGGCGGGGCGGGACTTTTAACATTTACGTCCCGGTTAAATGGTCCGGAAACTCCGTCGGGGTACACGACGACATAAACTGCCACCGCTGAGGCCCAGTCTGCCACCTGGGACGCTCTAAATCTCGTCTTATTAAGGCCCGTGCCGGTCTGAAATAGCGAGACCGCAGCATCATCGGCGCCGAGAAGGGTGATTACGCAAAATGTGGCAGATTTAATTATCCTTCTTTTATTCTTTTTTTTTTTTTTTTTTAAGCCTCCGTTCAAGCCAAGGAGCTTAATAAAGTTACTTCAGAAATTATAAGTGTATAGATATAATAAAAGATTCTATTTTTGTATATTTTTTATTTTATCATTTTTTATTGACTTTTTTGTAAAAGTTATAATTGATACGGGATTATAAAATATGTATGTAAATATATGAGATATTTGAGATATATAATGTATATATTCACGAGACACATATATAAAGTCAGCACAATTCAACGAAATTTATACACGTATTAAATTTGATGCGTCCTAAAATCACTGGCGTCATTCTAGCATTGCAAGGTCTGTTGAAGTTTTATATAAATTAATATTGCGGTTTGCATAATGAAAATTGTTCTGAATCGTGAATTATAACTGCGAGATGATGGATTTTACAAATGGCTCGTCATCTAAATTTTGTATTCAGTAAAATGTTTTCTACACAACACGCACGCACGCGACTCGCGTATTATTTTTTCAAACGAAAACCGTCGGTGGAATATTACCAGAATATACATGGTGTTTCGTCAGAGTTTTCGAAAATCGACGTGGCCCCGGCGAGCAGCAACGAAGCGAAATGACGGATAGGTATAGTAAATTAATCGCTCGGCG